TTCTCGATAGGGTTGAGATCCGGAGATTGAGGCGGCCAATCCATCACCGATAGGTGGTTGTTTTGAAACCACTGCTTGACTACTTTTGTAGTGTGTTTCGGGTAGTTGTCTTGCTGAAAAACCCATTTTATTGGCATATTCCATTCAGCATGAGGTAACATAACATCTTTCAGGATATTTTATACATGAAATGGTTCATTATTCCATCGATTCGATGTATTGGACCCAGAACGGTAGCAGAAAAACACCCTGAGACCATTACATTGCCTCCACCATGCTTCACGGTCTTATGGCAGTAACGTAAATCGAGGCGTTTTCCGGCCGGTCAACGAACACGGCAAATGCCATTGCTCCCAATGATGTTGAACTTCGATTCATCACTGAACAGGACAGTTCGCCATTTCTGCACATTCCAATCAATATGAGATGTAGCAAACAGGAGTCTTTTCTTATGGTTCATTAATGAAATCAGCGGTTTCTTTGCAGGGCGTCGAGAAAACAATCCAGCTTCAACAGCACGTCGTCTGATTGTTCGGTCCGATACAGACAGCTAATTGCTTTTGTATCTGAACTGATGATATCCAGGGATCCTATTTGACGGATCTGACGATTATAGAATCCTCTCTAGAAGTGGTGGAACGCGGCCTTCCACCTTTGTTATCTGCTGCCAATTTCTCCGTAGAACAATATTTGGAACATAGTCTTGATACGATCTATTTTTTCACGCGATATTTATCACAAATACTTTTTTGTGACATTCCACTTACGTAATCGCCAATAATTTTCTTTCTTATTTCCAATCCAAGACTGTCGGGAGCCATTTTTGCACTTGAAGTCATAAAAATAATAAAAATAATCACGCTTCTTAAGGCTTACCGTGTTACATTTACCTTGCGATGATACAATAATGCTCTGTGGAGCACAATGTCTTGATTGGATGTGTACACAACGTCTTGGATGGACTGTATTGATGTAATGAAACACTTGTTGTATTTCACTTCTTGTATTGATGTTCTTCGATAAAACACTTTGATAAAACTCACTTCGATAAACTGTCTTGATAATACTGACTAATTGACTTCCATATACTGACTGAATTACATGTCGGTTTACATGTCTTTTATATAGTAAAATGAACCTGTGTGAACCTGTTCTGGAAGATTCTAGATGCTTCTTTTCGATGCTTCTGGAAGCTTCTGGATACGTCTGGACGCTTCTGAATACTTTTGGATATTTCTGGATGCTTCCAGATGCTTCTTCTGGAAACTTCTGGAAGCTTCTGCATGCTTCTGGAAACTTCTGGAAACTTCTGGATACTTCCTTTAATTATTAAAAACTTCCGTGATGTTGACAAGGAACAGACTTAAGAAAATGAAACAAACCAAAAAAGTTGCACTTCTTTTGTTCGCTACAAAATGGCACTTGTCAACGAAATTCTGCCTGTGTGCTGTCACCAGCTGATTGCTCATGTCATGGCATGCTATGACTCCAGACTTCTAAACTGCTTGTTGTGGTAGTATAGTTTGTTTCGTTTTTAAGACATGTAAAATTAGGAACACTTTTTAACATTGTTCGATGTAGGTTGCAAATGTTTTGTTTAATACTGTATGTATTGAAAATTGGGAAAATTTGGAGATCTAGGCATTTTTTAATGTTGAGATATCGTGTTTTGAGTTCATAAATTATGTTAAAATCTTCATTTTTAGATAAAAGGCAAATCAGTAAAAAAAATTTTAAAAATATCCTTTTTAAAATATATTTGGATAATTGTTCTTGATCTTTATCAATCCAACCTTTCCTAATTCCTCTCAACTCTTTTCTTCTTTTTTTTTTGTGGTTGTCCTTTTTTCACCATATTCTCTAACCGCTTTTGGTTTTTTTTTATTGAACTGGTTATCGTATTTTTACCAAAGTCTAGATTTAAATGTTTAAATACACTATAAATATCAAATGAATCTTTATTGAAAGAAAGAACCGCTGAGTTTACTCCCATTTCAAGAACATCTGTCTTTACATAAACATTTTAAGGACTTCGGGGCCAGATAATATTATTTAGTCCTTCATTACAATTTTGAGTTAGCCTATGAAGACATTTTTTTAATAAATTGTTGTTGCTTAATTCATTAAAGTCATTCTTGATAATTTCATAAACCCATTAAGGCAAGTTTAATTTAGGAGAATAGTTTTCATCTGCATCTGCGTTTTTACTTTTTTTGAAGTATTGTTACTTTGAGTTTTTGTTTTATTATTGTTTATTTTACTTTGTTTTATTACAGTTTTATTATTGCGTACTAATCGAGTTATGTTATCTTGTTATCTTGAGTTGAGTTCAAGTATTTTTATAATTACCCATTGTATATTTCACTTATTAACCTAAAAAAATATTTCAGGTAAACATTTTATCAACACAACTTGTGTTAGTATAATGGTTTTGTTACAAGAAGTAAGTTATCAAATGATCGTGAGATAATGCAATTTCAATAAGTAAAACAGTTTTATT